GGTCCTCTGTTTCATATGCTCTTGGAGGCTTATTTTCTTCCATTATAATATTTCTTTAATTTATTTACTATTTGTCTCCCATAAAATTGTTCCATGATATTCCTTGCCTAAAAATACCAAAATATTTTTTGTTGAACATTTTTCTTCTTTTACAAACCTTCTTATCTGTCTCCAGTTGCACATATGCAAGATATATTTGGGTATTAATTGGGCATTGGAATGTATCGTCCACACCAATGCTCACTTTGAATTATAAATCATAATGCCACATTATCTGTCTATTTAAAAGGATTAAGATGTCCACTAATGCACACTATCACTTTGGAAACACATCCTTAAAAGTAATTTTTTCCAATCTACTAGGTAAAAAGGAACCCCACTGAATTTAAGTTTTTTATTTTACGGATGATTATTAAAGCAATTATCCCATCTGAAGAGATTTTCTTTGAAATAATCTTTATTTCAATTTTTTTCATGTGTATATGTCAGTGTGTTTATTAAATTCTAAGATAATGCAGGGGACATGTTTTGAACAGCATTAAGAAACATGGTAGAAACTTGTGGGTGAAGATATAGATAAAAGTCTTCTAAAAATGGTTATCTGCTATTGGGGATACAGAAATGTCAACTGTTAATTCAAAGGGTTGTTTTTTCTCATGTTGATTTATTAAAGAAAGAAATCTTGCAGAGCCAAGGACATTTTAAAAACCACCAAGACAGATATATTAATATATCTAGATATATCTATATTAGACAGATATATATTAAACAACATAGATATATTAATATATATCTATCTTGTTTAATTGTGAATGGATACCTCTGCTTTTTACAATGGAAATGTAGGAAAAGAGGGCGATGCCAATAAAGTTTTTCTAGCTTGAGAAGGAAGGAAGTTTTGTCAATCTAGGGAAACAGGGAGGTCAATTGACATATTATCATCAGGACAACAGATAACCAACCATTATCTACTAGACTCAGAAATCATTTCTCAAATTAAATCTTGCTGGATTTCTTCCTTCAAATAGCATTTCCAATCACAGGAAGAATTCACATAAGCAGAATCAATTAGCAGCATTTGTAAACATTACCACAGCTTCATTTTATAATACTGAGTAACGGTATTCATTTTCTACCAGATACCGAATATCAAGAGATGGAGATGTATGGAATGGATTTGGGATAAATTTTGTAAGGGATGGAGATGTATGGAATGGATTTGGGATAAATTTTGTAAGGGATTGAGGGGAAAACACATAATGAAAGGACATTTTATGGCATCATGAGGAACTTGTACCAACAGAATGCTGACAGCATATCTTTGGGCAAGACACTAAGATTTATAGAAACTATATTCTAGTCCTCAAGGTCCATTGGTAATGATGAGATATGTTTGGTCACTCTTTTTTAAAAAGAGGATGAAGGTATTAGTGGGTTTTGTTCTTGAAATGGCATGGGGCTGAGCAACAGGAGATGTTGGTTATCATACAACCTACAGCTCAGTTTATGATGTATATTGAACCACATTTTCCCCAGTGTAAACTGAGAAGGCAAGGAGTTTTTGAGAATCAAGTTCCTAAAGGCTGCTTTGTCGTTATTGTCATTTTTCTAAGGATGAATTCTCTTATGCCTTGTTCAATAAGTAGTTATTCTCTCAAGGGAGTATAAGACAATGAAATAATTGCATTCTCTGTGTCTCCAAATTGCAGCTGGAATATGGAATTGCTCCCAATGTTCTCATCGTGCTTTTTAAATTTAGGACTCACAGAGATTGTGAGATTGTTCAGGAGATGTAAACAACATGTATTTATGTATGTATCTTGTTTGATTCTAAGTGGATAACTCGTCCACTTGTCACAATGGAAGTTTGATCTCAGAATTTCATCTGTTTCACTGAATTTCATGCCTTCTAGAGAGAAATGGAAGAATTTTTCCATGCCTTGTGGCTAAAGGTAATTGTGCTCATCATATAAAGGGCTGAAATTATGTTCAGTGTTATAATTGTATGTGTTCGGGTATATGTGTGTATGTGTGTGCCCAGTGTGTACTACTAATCCCTAGAATCTACTCTTTTCACAGCAAAGGATGACACTCAACCCATGTAGAGTAATTTGTCTTGAATTTCATATCTATCTAAATTTTGAGACGATAGTACAAAAGTAGTCTCCATGTAGAATAACTTCTCTCACAGTGATCCTAGATGTAATTTTTGAGAGAAAGGATGGAAAAATATCTCTTTTTTCTAGTTTTTTACCCATATTACCTCTACAGGCTTTTTCCCAAATTTTATCCCAAATTTCTATAATTCTATGTCTCGATTCCAGTGTAGTCAGGTATTATTTTGTACCCAATATTCTACAGTATCCACCAATTTTCCTTCCTGTTGGTACTCATGCTTTGTAACAATCTGATGTCTTCCTGGTAGCCAGAAAGCCATTAGATATTTTTAGTCACTTCATTTACTTATACCTTCTCTTGGATGAGCTGTTTTTCTAGAATAGATTGAAACTTTATTATTATAGCAAATAGGTGCTTATATTCTCTTCAACACGTATATTTTTTTTCCTTAGCTACAATTCTTTTTTCTTTTCCTCAAATGCCCTGGCCCTATCCTCTCTAAATACTTAACTGGAGTGCCATTTTTATAATGTTCTTCTGCATATTCTTCTATTAAGGATTTATGGAACATAAAAGGATCGGACTCTTTATTACCTTAGCTTCTTGTGACTTAACAACTCTTACAACCATAAATATGCTGGAAATGTGACTCAAGCAGTAGAGCAGGTGCTCTACTGTAATCATGAAGCCCCACGTTCAAACCAAATACCTCAAAAACACCCCTCCAATTCCATTTCTGAGAATTCATTTCATAGCTATATATGCTAGTTTGCAAAATGACTGAAGAACAATTCTTATTATTGCTGGAATTAGCAAAATATTAAGAACAATCTACATCCCTACAGATAGAGAATCACCATCTCCATTGTGATAAACTAGTTGTTCCTAACATGTAACTGAGTGACATAACTGAATCATAATCATTATCAGGGAACATCACATTAACAGAATGTTTCATGTAGTAGGCTGAAGAATGTGGAAATTTTAAAGATAATTTCAGCCAAATTGGGAGAAATGGTAAGTTAAATTTATTTTTATTTTTAAAAAATGTATTAGCATGTAATAGTTGTACAGGGGAATACATTATATTTACCTATGTGTTATCTTAAATTTACCCTCTCCATTGTTTTCCACCTTCTTAGAACAATTTCAGCAGGTTTCATTCTGTTTTCAAATATACATATAAAATTCATCCACCATATTCACTCTCATCCCCTCTTTCCTTGTGCACATCCAGCTCCCACTGGTACCCATCCCCAAGAAAAGACCTATTTTTCCCTCTGCCCTTCATTTTTAAGTGCATATTGATAGTCAGAAGGGGTTCTCATGCTTTAAACAAATTAACCCCTTCCCCCACCCTGTTACTTATTCATTCTCTATCACCATGTTCCCCTACTATTAAACAACTTACAGTACAGTGCATCATATTATATACATATATAGATAGATTGTTTCAATATTTTTCATTCTCTAACATTTTCTTTCCCTCTCCCATCTCCTGTAGTCCCCTCAGAAAGACTCATTAGTACAATGTTGTATTAATTCCTTTTATGACAAAGGATGTTGAGCATTTCTTCATGTGTTTATTGCTCATTTATACTTCTTTTGAGAATTGTTTATTGAGTTCATTGGCCCATTATTCAGTGGGTTGTTGATTCTTTGAGAGGTTAGTTTTTATTGACACCAAAAATAACTGATTAGTCAGGAAGTGAGACATCTTTTCAGCTCCAAAGACAAAACCCTGTGATTTTAAGTCTTTACATTGAATATGTGCTCTATTTTAGTAGACAGATTATCATATTCTGTAGTCTTTTTCTTTAGTGATTACTCATATGAATAGATATCATAATAACAGAACTGAAAGAGGAAAAGAGAAGAATGATAGTTTAGCAATGCAGAAGAAATATTAGAACATATTAAAAATACCAAAAAACAAGCATTGGCACGAATGCCTAGGTTAGGAATCACAAAAAAGGAGAAGACATTATTTATTTTAGCTAGCAACACAAAGAGTTTCTTTGGTAGATCTAAGATCTAACTAGAAAAGTGAGGTATTTCCTGGATATCTAAGAACTTGAATAAGATGATTTGTCTTGAATTAAGGGAATACCTAGGGGGTTAACATGTAAGAAAAACAGACATTTTATGAAAACTCCATGGTAATTTCTTTAAGAAGAGTAATAGAAGACTAAAACTGTTGAGTAGAAGTGATTTCTTGAAAGAAGAACTGGTTAGTGTATCTCAAGGTATGTCACTGGATGCTTTATGTTATTAAGGTCTCTAATGTCCTTGCTTTGACCACTTGTATATGATATGTCTACCAAGTGTCCTGGTCTTGATATCTTGTAGATCCAAGCAATCAACTAAATTATTTCATCTTGGTTCAAGTTACTTTCAATGAAAATAAAGCATGAGCATGTGTTTAAGAAGAGTTGGGAAAGTTATGAAGGTCAAAAAACCATTAGAGACAAATCTAGTAGTTTTTCTACTAACTGGTTACTGACAAGACCTTGTACACTAATTCCCACATCTAAAATCTTCACCAGGAAATCATAGGCAGCATAAATTGAGACCGAGTCTAATCTGATGACCATTCTGATTATTCATGCTATATTTTAAAGATGTTAAGTTGTTTTCTAGGTGGCAAATATCACTTCCAACCATCATTAGCCACTAGTGTGGCAACAGACTTGAGATACTAGTGTTAAAATACCTGTACCACCTAGCTCAAAATAATATTTAATTATTCTATTTGTTAATTTATTCATTTTGTAACACTGGGATCAACAAAATGATACTTTTACAATGTAATAGTAGCAAAGACTTATTGTTTCACACTTCCATCTGTTTCTTCATCTTTAACAGAAGAGAAGAAAAGGAGCATGAGGAGAGATAATCAGAGCAGTGTGTCTGAATTTATCCTCCTGGGGCTCCCCATCCAGCCAGAGGAGCAAGTAATGTACTATGCCCTTTTCCTGGCCATATATTTGACCTCAGTACTGGGGAACCTCACCATTATCCTGCTCATCAGGCTGGACTCTCACCTCCACACCCCCATGTACTTCTTCCTCAGCTACTTGGCTTTCACTGATGTCTCTTTCTCATCAGTCACAGCTCCAAAGATTCTCATGAATATGGTGACACAATGTAAATCCATCTCCTTTGCTGGGTGTGTTTCCCAGGTATATTTTTCCATCTTGTTTGGGAATCTAGACAGTTTTCTTCACACTTCAGTGGCATATGACAGATATGTGGCCATCTGTCAGCCTCTCCACTTTAACAGAATCATGAGTCAGAGCCTCTGTTTCCTACTAGTAATTGTGTCCTGGGTCTTATCTTCTGCCAATGCCCTTGTGCACACTGTTCTTGTAGCCCATCTTTTTTTCTTTGTAGACAATACTCTCCACCACTTCTGTTGTGATCTCTCTACCTTACTTTAGCTGTCCAGCTCTGACACCACAGTAAATGAGCTGATTATCCTCATTACAGGATCACCGGTCATTATACTTCCATTTATATGCAGTCTGGTCTCTTATGGCCACATTGGGGTCACCATCCTGAAAATTCCTTCCATTAAAGGAATCTTCAAAGCCTTGTCCACATGTGACTCTCACCTCTCTGTGGTTGGTCTGTACTATGGAACAATTATCGGGCTCTATTTTGTTCCTTATTCCAAGACCACTAATGACAAGGATGTCATTGTGGCTGCATTGTACAATATGGTCACACCCATGCTTAATCACTTCATCTACAGTCTGAGGAATCAGGATATGAAGGTTGCTCGGGGAAATACCTTCAGTAGAAAAACAGTTTCTGCATGATGGGCATCATCTTCCTAATGGGATATGACACCTCTCAATCCCCATATGCATCCTCACCTCTGTAAATTGATGTTTTCTCAGTGTATCTTGATGTGGCACTGTTTTCTCCATGTATTTCACCTTGGATACTATATTTTAAATGAATTGTCTCATCAGTATTGAGAGACGTGAGAATGCTTTTTCTATACACCTCCCTCCATTTTTTGTATTTGCATAAAATCCTTGTCCTACAAACATTTAAAACTTTATATGATTGCTAGTTTCGATTTTTTATTTGATCATTGTAACTTTTGGTAGCTAATTATTTTCCTTCCTCAAGATTAAAGAAAACATTTATCTGGTGTCCAATTCTATAATACAGTTCAAATTTATTTTTGCTAATAACTTTTATTAGAAAACTAGGTTTACTTTTAGGGCTGACAGAGTGGCTCAGGTAGTACAGTTCCTACCTCGAAAGTGTGAGGCCCTGAGTTCAAACTCCATTACTGCCAAAAAATATTCTGGAAGACTCTCACCTTTACTTTTGTTTTTAATTCCTTTTTTGAATATTAATTTTTATTTTTATTTTACATTTGACACAGAATATGGTAGATATTTCCAGGGTTGCATGTGATATTTCTATACATACATATAGTCTATAATGTTCAAATTAACAAAACATATCTATTTCCTCAAATATTTATCACTTTTTTTGCGAAATTATTCAGAACCCTGTTCTAGTTTTTTTTGGTATCTATAATATTTTTTCATTATCTATAATAACTCCACTGTGGAATAGGACAACAGAACTTATTTCTCTTGTCTAAAATATACCCATCCATCTTTCCCTCCATTTTCTTCATCTGTTTGCAGTTTATTATCCATTTTCTAGTTTTATAGTTTCATTAGTGTTCATGGTAACCAGTCATAAAAATTTGTTCTTCTCCAAATTTTAATTTGCTACAAATTAAAATGAGATGATTTTCTGAACATTCCAGGTGAATACTTCTGACAGAACAGACAGTGGCTGCAACTGGTGGACAGAAACGTGATTGGGGCACTGAAGGTCAATAGTATGAGATATCACATTGAAAGTGGGGGTTTTAAGATGGCCTTGTAGGTGGTGATGTGGTTATATGCACTTAGTTCATTCTGATAAGGGGACTCAGCCTCTCACATTGTGGGGTAAAGAATGGTTAGGCAGGAGGTCTAGGCAACTTAAACTGAGTTCAAGTAGGTCTTCAGTGTTAGCTAATCCAACTACATTCCATTATAAAAAGAAAAGAAAAGTACTTTCCTACATAGCTGCATAGATGTAGTGTCCTATTTTTCCATCTCAAATGGTTACTTTTTGTCTTTAGTCCTTAAGTGCATTGCTACAAATTGATTGCCTTGAGAGATATTTCTGTATTTATTATTTCCTTTATTACTTATTATAAATTAGGGAATATAGATTTTAGAGCAGTTTAGTAACCAGCTATGTGTCACTAAGCTAGCAATACTTGGTGGATTTGAAACTCAAACTACTGTGTATGTGTGTGTGTCTATGTGTTCAGATCTTATGACCTGTAAGCTAATTGGTTATTTCTCAAAGTTCAGCAATAGTTATACATTCATTGAAAAATTTGTAATCTTTACAGAAATACTGAAATAATATAAAGACAAAAATGTTACATAACATACATACATTTTAAACATATGTGTATACATATGACACTGTATTGTGCCTAATATATGTATGTTCTCATATGCATCTGACATAAGGTGACATTTTAATGAAAAGAGTACAGTGAAACCCACCAGTCTGTTAAAAAGAGTAGGGTGGGTGAGGAAATATAGGTAAGAGTAATATAGTCAGGGGGGAATTAGACCAAAGTACATTATATGCACATTGCAAATATCATAATGAAACCCCTTTGTCCAATTAATGTGTGCTGATAAAAATTAAAAATAAATAAATAATACTATTCAAAAAATATTCAATAGGTACTCTCTAGGCTTATGTAATGGAAAACTAGTAATGTTGTTGAAGATTCTTAGTCCCTCCTTTTCTTTATTTGTATGTTCTGGACTGACTTGAATTCAGAGTTTCACTCTTGCTAAACAAGTGCTTTACTATTAGAGTTGTAACAATTTTACATCAATCTTTCACTCTTGCCTGCTCTAGAACTGCGAATAAATGAAATAATACTGTATTTATTTTGATATACTTTGTTTTTGTCATGTACTATTGTTCTTGTGAAATCCTTCTATGTATTTTTATAGTATACCTTGAGACTGTAACACACATGTCTGTATTGTCTGTGGCCATAATAATTAAATTATATTCCTTTGCAGCCCTCGCACACATTCCCTTTCTCCTTGTCTTCTTTGTTCCATAGTAATTCCCACATCCCCTTATTTTCACTACTTATTTTAACTCCTACACAAAAGTTTATTTTTCTAACCCCTACCTTACTATATAAGAATGCTAATCCCTTCCATATGTCACATGATAGGTTGTATAGATAATGTTGCCAATGGTATTTTACTTCATGTAAATAACTGGTGTGGTATTGAGTAATGCATTTGTTTTTTGCTGAGTTATATCTGCAAGACAGTGGTGAGAAGTGGTACATCAACGCTGCCACTACTCACTCCGGCTAGAACACAGAGAAAGGGCAAGACCTTAGGTGACTAAAACCTTCAACCAAAAAATTGACTACAGATGAGCAACTCTCAACATAGAAGCATATGAAATATGACATAGCAAGGGAATATGACATCCCAAAAGTTCAACAATCACACAATGAAGGGTCTGAATGACAGTGAAGGTGATGAAATATCAAATTTTGAGCTCAGAAGAATGATGATAAGAATGATTAATGATATGAAAGAAGACATGGATAAAGTCTTCATTGAAATCAAAGGTAATATAAATAAACACCTAAATAGCTTCAAAGAAAATACAAATAAATAAACTCAAAGAAGATATAAATAAAGAGCTGAATGAACTCAAGGTGGATGGAAATAAACAACTAAATGAAATAAGGAAGACAATGCAAAACATGAAAGAGGAATTCAGTAAAGATATAGAAAGCCCAAAGAAATCAAAGTAAAGCTCTGAAAATTAAAAGCTGTACAAGTCAAGTAAAAAACTAAATTGAAAGCCTGTCTACCAGACTGAACCAAATGGGAGATACAATATCAGTACTTTAAGACAAAGTAGATGTGATATAAAAATCAGATGAAATAAAGGAAAAACAATGAAGAAATACAAATGAAATATGCAAAAAACTCTGTGACCCCATAAAAAGACCAAATCTACAAATCATGGACATTAATACAGGAGAAGATGTGCAAACTAAAGTCATAGGAAACATATTCAACAAAGTAATTTCAGAAAACTTCCCAAATCTTTAGAAAGAGATGCCCACATAGGCCCAGGAGCCCTTGAGGATTCCAAAAAAGACAAGATCAAAATTAATTATAGAGAAGAAGGAAAGAAAATTGACAGCTACAAGGGAGAAGACTCAAGCCACCTATAAAGGAAAACCAAATGGAATAACAGCAGATTTCTCAACTGAACCATAAAAGCAAGGAAGGCATAGAATGATGCATTTCAACCACTGGAAGAATATTACTACCAATCTAGATTACTCTACCCAGCAAAGTTATCATTCATAACTGAAGAAAATAGATATTCAACAAGACATTGTTGATTGACCAGTGGATCATTGAAGAAATGAGAGAGAAACCACAAATTTTCTAGAATCTAATGAAAATGAAAGCACAACCTAACAGAACCCTGGGGATACAGCAAAGACAGGAGTAAGAGGAATGGTTTATAGTTATCAGCATGTACAAAAAAAAAAACAAAAAACAATCCAAGAGGTCTCAAATAAATAGCCTAATAATGCACTTCAGTGTCCCAGAAGAACCAGAACAAACCTAACCCTAAGTTAACAGAGAGAAAAAAATACAAGGGCAGAAATCAGTGAAATTATGATCAAATAAACTATATAAAATTCAATGAAGAGGAATCCAAGATGGAGACCAGAGGGAGGAAGCAGACAGCGTGAGCTACATAAATCAAAAATCTTGCTGAGAGGCTGGAGCCACACTTGGCAGAAAAAAACCACCAAGAAGAAGCAAAACTCTGAAACCCTGAATCCCCAGCCTGTACAAAGCTTCTTCATGCCACATTACACTGAGAAAATAGGAGGGCTCCCACACCACCAGACATTGACTCCAAACCTGCTTGGGAGCTGCAGGCCAACATGTGAGTAAATAAGTGGCACACAGTATTCCCACAACTCCCCCGGGATAAACCAGCCTAGCCCCCTGGAAGACTGACCCACACCCCACAAAAAAAACTGAATAATAAACAAGGAACTGAAATGGACATGCAACAGAGATGGCGGGTTGCTCTGAGCACACTGGAGAAGGGAGGGTGGGGCAAGGACCTGAACTGCCCATGAACTTTCAGTAAACAAAGTCTGCAAAAGTGGATGGCTGACAGTAGGCGGGTGATAAGCCACTGCCTGAAATGAGGCAGATAGTGGCCCACAAGCTCGTCTCCTGACCCAATCACCTGGTGACACTATGACAGAGCTACTGCTTAAATACCAAAACCAAGACTGGATGCTGAAGGAGTAACACCAGAACTACTAAGACTGAAACTCTATTGTTCCTGAACTTGCAAGTTTTTTTCTTTCTCTCTAAGTGTTTGCCTTGTTCACTTTTTGTTAGCTCACATCTCTCCCTGTTGATTTCTTGGATCGTGATTTTTTTCTTTTATTTCTTTTTCTTTTTTCTCTTTCTTTCTTAGTTTCATTAGTTTTACTACTGTAAGTTAGCTAACACTAAATTACATACAGACCAGGGACAGAAACAGCACCAAGTAGAATGATGGGAAGATGAAAAAGGGATGGAAACCATCCTCCCCTCCCCCCCCAAAATAAATTAGTACAGGATTCTGAGGGAAATGAAGAAAACTCATACCCAGTTCCAGACTCCAACAAAACAAAGATAGACTATCT